CTGTCTCTCTGTACCTGCCTCTCTCTCTGTACCTGTCTCTCTCTCTGTATCTGTCTCTCTGTACCTACCCGTCTGTGTCTCTCTACCTTTCTCAGGTGACTTTCCCTGTGAGGATCTTCAAGTTAATGGGGGTGGAGTCAGTGTTGGTGACGAACGCATCAGGAGGAATTTGTCCAGACTTTAAAGTTGGTGACATCATGATCATCAAAGACCACATCAACCTGCCGGGATTTGCTGGGCAACACCCGCTCTGTGGACCCAATGACGAGCGGTGAGACTATCTCACTACCTGTTAAAGGCATAGTTCGGGGGGGGGGGGGTAAACAGTGTTGCAGCCAAATTCAAAAAAACTGCACCACATTTTCACCTGTCTTTCTCTCCAACTGTCTGTAGTTTTGGGATCAGGTTTCCGTGCATGTCGGACGCATACAGTAAGGATCTGCGGCGTCTTGCATTGGACGTGGGCTCGGAGCTTGGCTGCCGTGACTTTATCAGAGAGGGAGTTTACTGCATGGTGAGCGGACCCAACTTCGAAACCATCGCTGAGGCCAGGATGCTGCTGATCCTGGGCTGTGACTCTGTGGGTAAGAGACAGACAGATACACAGAGACAGACAGTTCTCACTAATTGTTTGAGAGAGGACTGTTGACCATTTTAACATCACTTCTTTTTTCATTTACAAATAGGGCAGCACAGCAGGATATTCTGGGAGTTGCAGTGTGGAGACATGAACATGTTTCATTCAGTGTCTTTAGTTCAGACAGTATGTATTATATTCAGTATTCAGTACAGATGAATGTTCATTTGTTTCAAGAGCTTGTTCAGGCTTCATGATACTTTAGGAACATCAGAGGTCCTGCTTCAACAGGTCCTTCAAAATCTGTTCCAGCTTTTCCAAATGTTTTCATATGGAAATGAGTGGTTTGAGAGATGAGATTCCTGATGTGCTCCTGAAGAGGGTTAGAGAAGGAGGGATCGTTGGTGTCCTGCAGATGTTTTACTGGTTGAGATTCCTGAGATGAATCAGTTAAATACTAAATACATATTAAATTGTTCCTGTGTCATCAGACACAGATTTAAAGACACACACATTCGACAGTCGAACAGGTTCTCATCAGATATCTGAGCTTTTATCACTTGTATCTACTTAACCCCCAAATATCACCAAAATACCACCAGCTACTCCAAAGTACAAACAGCTACTCTCAGCAACCACCAGCCACCCCCAACTACCCTGAGCTAAACCCAACTACTAACCCTTCTGACTAACCCACTCATCCGTCATCTGGTTAAACAATGAAACAAACAACAAGACTCATGTTGTATCATGTGGTGACAATAATCAATACATTTAGAAGGTAACATAATATTAGATTAATATTCTTTATCATTAAAATATGGATTTTTTACATTTTCAAGAGAAAGTATAGCAGCGTTTCCCACAATGCAGTTTGTCCTTATCAGATGTCACTTAAACAAATACTTTAGTCAGACCAAAGTTAAAGAGAAGGTTAAATAATGTGATCTTTATTTATTCTTCAGGAATGAGTACAGTTCCTGAAGTGACCGTAGCTAAACACTGTGGACTCAGAGTTCTTGGTCTGTCCCTTATCACCAACAAGGTCAGTTTATATTATATTATTTATTATATTATACATTGGTAATGTGTGTGTTCTCTTGTCCTGTGTTGATACTTCCAAATTATTCCTTTTCATTAGTGAAGAAAACTATTTTTCTCAATGTTTTTTATCAGATAAAACTGAATTTCCTTAATACTGTTCCATGTGTGGTTTATATAGAAGTTTTAATGATTTACTGAACTGATGTTATTGTTATATACATGTCAACTGTTTCAGAGTCTGTTAAAGGTCCAGTGTGTAAGACTTAGGTGAAAGGGATCTATTGGCACAAATTGAATATAAAATAATCCTCATGATGTTTTCACTAGTGTGTTTTATCTAAATTGTATGAATTGTTCTTTTCTTTACCCCAGAACAGACCCTTTATATTAAATACATTTACATCGAGGGGGTCCTCTCTATGGAGGCCGTCAGGTTTTTAACAGTACTCCGGACAGGACAAACTAAACACCTTTTGAGTTTTTAAAATAACTGAAGGATACACAAATTTGAAGTGATCTTAAGACCTGGAAAAAGACATGTTCAACTCTGTCCATCAGCTGACACATTGCCCCCCCCCCACTCAGCTTTCTCATAACAGAGGCCACATTTTATACAAGTCACTGTGTGATGACATGCCATACCTGTGCTTTCCTGCAGGTGTCCCTGGACTACAGTCGCGAGGAGAAGGTGAACCACGACGAGGTTCTTCAGATCAGTAAAATGAGGGCGGAGCTTCTGCAGAAACTCGTCTTCACGCTGATCTGCCGTTTCCAGCAGCAAAGTATCAACACGCACTGAAAGACGAGTCAATTCAGTCTCCCATTAGTTCACTACAGTTTATCACTTCATCCCTTCATCAGGTCATTAGTAGCCAGAACCAGTCAGTGCAGACCTCTGTCACACTGAGGTGGAAACCAAAACAATGATGATAAAGGGAGAAATGAAAAACTGATTTCACCTTGAACATCCTTTCCTAACCAACCCTAACCCGTCATCCACTCTGTTTTGACGCCTCCCAGGCAACCAAGAACCACATACACACCAAATAACATTCTGTAAATTACAAGAATAGTCACTGGAGGTGCAGAAGGAGATCATGCATCCCATGCTTCACCAACCCACATGTAAAGATTGATAGATAACTCCGGTGCGACATTCCATCATATCTGCCCATATCGAAGAAACTTACACCCAATCCACATGGACGACAATAACCCCACTACCACATATAAACAACCAGCTCCTTAAAACAAGTCGGATTACATTTCCGAATGCTACCACCTACGTTCCAATAAAAAAAATGTACTCACAGGTTGGAGTCTCAGAAACAAGGGCGTTAGGGAGGGCTGCGATGTACTGAGGGAATTTCTTAGGATCTCTGCGTACCACAGCTTCAAAAACCTGACAGACCTCGTCCACACTGCATTCAATATTGATACTGCAGATAAGAAAGAGCTTTGAGGTTCTGAAATTGGTTTTATCAGCCTCACCCACATAATTAGCTCCAGTCCGGAGTAGGCTCTAAACATGTTTCTGGCCTTAAAATCCACAACAACAGGGACTGGACCATGGCTTAGCGACAGATAGCACATGGGAAATGGATCCATTTATTAAAAACTATAGATCCATCTGGTTTAAATTCTGCTTGATGTTTCTTCCAGTTAATGAAGAGTTTTTTTTTCTCTCAGTCGTCAAGAGTTTCTAACTGTAGGAACTGTTGGTTTCTCTATCATTTTCAAGATCTTGACCTTCTATGTAAAGACCCTTGAGATAATGTATATTATGGTTTGGTGCGATACAAATAAAATTGAATTGGGTCAATGTCTCGCTCACTCTTAGCATTCAGCCTGATTTCATCCATGTAGAAGATGAGGCTGGTCTTTGGTTTGTTGCTTCAGGCGGATCAGGCCTGTACAGAACAGCAGCGGGTCAGAGAATCTCCTTGGTTTATTATGCACTTGATTGTAACTTGTTCAATGGGCCGTGAGTTGTCGTCTTGAGAAATTTCCAGAACAGAGCTAAACTAACCCAGTTTGGACCTGATTTTCTTTTTCATGGCAAATGCCTGAGTAAGCTAATTTTATTCAAAGCTTTACTAACTACTAAATGGCAATGCAATATAGCCTGTTAGTGCCATTAACTTTATGATGAATGTTTAGAAGTTGTATAAATGAATATAGGCAACTAGACTTGCTTTTGTTTCTTAAAGATGTTTTATCCAAGAGGCTTCTTCAGTCCTGACCAGGGATGGCTGGTCAATAGGGGGGGATAGGGCGCTGCCCTCCAAAAGAAAAAGGAACAAAGATGATAGTGATTACTTTTGTAATGATCATTATAATCATCATTATTAATTTAAAAATGTATTAAATTATACAAATACTAAAGACAGTTTTTCCTGCCTGCTGCCTCTGGATATCATCGTCCAATCAGCTGCAGCATCGAGCCCTGTTCAATAGAGTCCAGGGTCCACATCGCTCTCATAGACTTTCAGTGTAAGACTTTTCTTTCAAACTGCAGGAAATGCAATCTCTATGACTTCCAGGAGGGCTTGCACTAACATGCTTTCGTCTTATGTAAGGTTGTTGCACTCGCACCTTGGTCCAATCACACCGTGCCTATCATCTCGCCACGTGAGAGGAGCAGTGTTGTGTATTAACGAAGCTCATTGAACGCGTTCACATTTTATTTGTGAACGATGAACTGAACAAATCGGTTTACATATGATGAACGTGAACATGAATGTGAGTGACGTTCACTCTCGCTGGAGTGTGAACTCCAGTTCAACACGAGACATGACGTGAACAGCAGGACTCAGTGTTAAAGTGACCGGAGCGAGGTAGTTTGGGTATTTACCCATTAAAGAGTTAACCTTAGCCATCATCGCAACAATTACCCCCTGAGAATTTGGCAGGAGCCGCCACTAGCCCTGACTAATGGGAGGTATTTAACCTCTATGTTTAGAGTTGTTATGTTTAACAGTCAGCTCGTTAAACCCTCTCCATCAATTGTGGGTCATCTGAGTCAAGGTGTTAATGGCTGTTGAGTGAAAGCGAAGGTTTTTTTAAAATTTACATTTAAAGGAACAAAAACATTCAGTAAAGAAAATTCAATGGTGGAAACATTCAATCATTAACAATTTCACAAATGTTATTCAAAATGAGTTAAATGAAGGGCATCTGGTTAAATCAACTTTATTACATTAACAAGGAAATTGAACAGACCACAACATTTATTCAGTTTGATTAATTTTAGCTGCTTTTGCCAGTTGCTGATTTTGTAAATGACCTGAAATTCAAATTAAATTCAATATATTTTCCTAAATTATTGAACAGCTAAATGTTTGCTATTTCTTCTCTCTGAAATGTTTGATTGGTGTGATCCACATCACAAGCAGGTTTAAAATAATTATGATATTGCTTTAATTCTGCTCAGATGTCTATCTCAACTTGACCTTGACCCTAGAACAGACAGGTACTGTAGACCGTGACCTTGTGGCTGATCTCTTGAAGCAGCTCTTTAACAGCAGCCTCCAGTTCCACCAGCAGCTCAGCCTTCACCTCCAGAGTTTGTTGGTTTTCATTGTACGACTTCTCCAGCTCTGAAAAACAGATAACCTACTTCAAACACTGCATCTCTGTAGGAAGATCCCTGCAGAGCGAAGCAATCACTAAATCTCAAACTATCATATTACAGGTACAACATCTGGAACCAAACATCTGATGGAGGTAGAAGATCAGTACTGAATCTGGCTCTAAAACCTTTTACTATTGATTTCCTAGAATTGCAATCCAAAACAAATCAAGGTTTTTAAATTGAAGCCATAAAAAATACACAGCTCCCCTGGTTGAGCACGTATCTTCATCAAGGCTGAGTTTGAGTTTGAACCCACCACAGATGGTTTGCTACATGTCATCACATTTCTTCTCACACTGTATTTTCTGATAATCTCGACTGACATGACCTACATAAGCTACAAATAATAACCTTCATGCTAAATTGGTATAATTTAAACACTTAGCAGTCTGTGGGGTTAAGATAAAACAATTAGTTTAATCATGACACTGTGAGTGGAGGTGTGATGTCAGAGTGATGTCACCTTTCAGCAGCTGCAGCTTGTCGCTGGCCTGCAACAACAGCTGTTTGGCTTCCTGTTGCAGTGACTCCGCCCTCTTCTTGGCATTAGCCACACCCCCTGCCTTCTGATCAATCAGCTGCCCCACTGTGGCATACTTATCCTTCAGGTCGGACTCCAGGTCCTAGACACACACGGGTTCAGAGACATTGATTAGTTTCAGGAGAATTTGTCGATAGAAACAAAGTCATCAAAAGAAATTTAAAATAATCTGAAGACGTGAGCGTGTCCTTCTATAAATGATCTAACCAATGGACTTACTTTCTTCACCTCCTCTGCTATCTCTGTGATTCTTTCTGCATCCTGATTGGTCTGTTCAGAGCTCTTAGTGACATTTACAGCTTTGTCTATTAGTAATGTTACATCCTGCTCAAGCCTCTGCAGCCTCTTGGTGGCGTTGTTTAGCTTCAGGTCTGCTTCTGTTGTCTCAAACTGCACCTAAATCCAACACAGACAGACACAAATTGACTTGCTCATTATCACCATGGTAACATGAAGGTACATAGACATATGAATAACAAGCGCACACTCTGCTTGTTAGACACATGATCATTCATGTTTCATATTTCATATAAACATTTTCCTCTGCAGAGACGTGCTGTCTATTACTATGTGAACAATAAATAAAATATATTAATATATTGATATAATAGTTTATCAGTCATTTTAAATATCAATCCACCAAGTTTCAAACTTGCCTCTAAGCGGAATTGGAGATGACCAAAACAAACATTAAGAACAACCTCTTCGTTAACATTTCTGTTGACCATTAAACTATGAAACTGTTTTGGATACATCAAAACCATGCAGTTTAGTTCATGTGCTTCGATCAATAACATAGAGTGTTGGGTCAGAACTGACTAAAGACAGTAGGTTGTTGGTATTCTGGATGTCGGCGGCCGCCTGCTGGATAGCGCTGCTGGCTGCGTCTTGAGCTCTCCGAGCTTCTTCCAGAGCTTTCTTCATTTTCTCTGCAGAGTCCTTCACATCAGCTGCCTCCACACTGAGCAACATAAGAAGTCGTGTGTTAGAGAAGTAAGAACCTTCTTAGACCAAACATTACAGATGTCAAACAATTGTTGGACAAATTCGAATCACAGACCGAGGACAATGTTGAAACAGACAGATGGGATCTCATTTGTCCATTTGAATTTCTGACACAGTTCTGGATGTACAGGTAGGACTTACCTGGCGTGACGGGCCTGGTCCAGCAGGTTCTCAGCTCTCTGGATGTTGTCAGTACTCTGCTGCAGAATGGTCTCCACATGTCCCAGTTCTCCCACCTTCTGTCGGATCTCTTCTGTGAGGTTTTGTAGCTGTACCGGCGTAGTTGGCATCTGCATGGCCAGAACCTCGTTAGCCACCAGCTCGATGCTCTCTAAATCTGCGGCATCCTCTGAAACAAGAAAGTGTATGACTTACATGTTAAACAGGAAGTGTATTACATACGAGTTAGAAAGGAAGTGTTAGACAGGAAGTGTAGGACATACGTGTTAGACAGGACGTGTAGGACATACGTATTAGACAGGAAGTGTAGGACATACGTGTCAGACAGGAAGTGTAGGACATACGTGTCAGACAGGAAGTGTAGGACATACGTGTCAGACAGGAAGTGTAGGACATACGTGTTAAAAAGTCTCTGATCTGTCTGATGAGACTTCTCAGCTCATCGTTACTCTGGTCCACTTTCTGTTTGGTTCTGTTGGTCTTCATCAGAACTTCCTGAGCACTCAGTTTTGCTTCATCTGCCTTCAGCTTGACCTCTGACACCTGATGATAAACCAGAGGTGAGAAGATCAACAATTCTTGAGCCACAGACCAGAACTAGTCACACTCAATTCAGAGTGGGGGAGAGGGGAGAGGAGAGAAAGACCGGGAACACTTGATCACCATCAGGTATCAGATCTGACTAGTTTTAATTTAAAAAATAAGTGTAAAGAAGTTATTGATTAATATTGATAACAGTCACAATTCATATAACAATTAATTACTACTAAGTATTGTTAATAATAAAAATTATAATATTAATAATAAAAATAGTTGTTCTCCTGCAGTTCTGGAGTCAGAGATATCTGCAATGAGAGAGAGAGAGAGAGAGAGGGAGGGACTGTGGGAGGAAAAACACCCAGTTATTGACATGTATCAAAATAAATAAATGAGTGTGGGGGGGCAGAGAGACAGAGAGAAGGGGAGAAGTGCTCAGTGCATGATGGGAGTTCTCCCTTTGTGCATGATGGGAGTTCTCCAGCAGTCTAGACCTATGGCAGCATAACTAAGTGATGGTTCAGGACCTGATCCAGAACTATAGACTTTATCAAAGAGGAACATTTTAACTTTAAATGCTGAGATGGTCTGACTCTAGAACCCAGAGTGGGAGCTGGTTCCACAGGAGAGGAGCCTGGTAGCTGAAGGTTCTACCCCCCAACTCACCATCTTAGACAGTTTTTCCACTTCCCCCATGGCACTGATGATTTCATGCTCTGACTCTTGAGTTTTCCTCCACGCACTGTTGGCCGTCATCACCACGCCGTCACATCCTTCACCTCCACAGCTGGTGCACAAATCCTGATCCGCTGATGGACTGCCACAGGTCTATAAGAGCCAGAGAGTAAAGACAACATTTAATTGTTTAATGTATTGAGCTTGTATTCAGTTTTAATTGTGTAGCACAGAGTCACAACATAAATTATATTTGTAGCCAATTTTTTCTTCAGTTCATTATTAATAACTCTGGTTAATACTAATATTAATAATAATAATAGTTTGTTAACTTGGCTCCTGTTACTCCCCTGCAGGCCTTAAAGGATACGCAGTTAAAATAATGGTTCTGTTAAAACTGGAGCTTTTATTCATATTCGTCAGTAAAGTAGTCACTTAACGAAAGTTATTTTATCAATTATATAGAAAAATTAATTTAGAATATGAGGAATGAATCAGAATGGAATATTTTTGTGTCACTGTTTATAATTTTTCAGTTGAATCTAAAGATTCCATTTATAATTGTCTCGTTTTTCTTCTACTGCGGAGCTCTGAGCAGTTTAAGTTTTGTTTCCAGGTTATCATCTCACACCTTCTGGCTGATCTCTGATAGGTCCAGAGTCTGCAGCTCTCCAGCCAGGTCGTCCAGTTTCTGAGCACGCTCAGTGTGTCTCCTCAGGAACTCCTCTCTGGTTTGGTTCAGTTTGTCCTCTGTGAGCTGCCGTACAGCGGCAGAGGTTTCCACAGAGCTTCCAGCATCGATGGTGGAGGAGTTGGCTCGAGCTTCAGCTGCCTCAGACAGCAGGAAGTACTTAGTGATGCTGTCTGTCGCCCCTGGCAACAGAAAGAAAACAGAAATCCGCTGAGTGATCATCAAAAACTTAAGACATGCCCGCCGTCTACACGCCCACATACAACCATAAATGGTGAATGAAAAACCTCCTGAATATTTAATGAGCCAGGACGTGAAACTTCTCTGACATGACACTGAGGAGCTTGTGAGAGAAGACGAGCCCCAGCAGCGATTTTACTAATTATCGTTAATTATTAAGTATATATCACTTATAAAATCTAATTTATGTGACAGAAATAAAACGGTGATTTAAAGGTGGAGGCAAAGAGAGAATCTCGTCACATTGTCAGAATGTGAAGGAACATGTTTTATCTCCTGAACGTATTTTAATTTAACTGCAGGATTATTAAATCTAGAGACCACTGTGATGAATCTATAAAATGTAAAATCATTATATATTTCAATGATTCAAATAAACAATCAGAGTTGCAGCAGAATGTAAAACAACTGAAGTAACTGGTGACCGATTCTTCAGACCAAGTGTCCACAGGCCCCGACATTCATGTTTAACTCAAAGCGAGTTTTAAACCTAAAAGTCCTCTTGTAACCCGCACACCGCACATGCCCTTGGACGAGAGCGTGAGCAGTGGTGCGGTGTGTCCACGCGTATGTGAACTCGTCTCTGAGGAAGATATCAGAGACATGGTGTGAATTAAACCGTTTCAAGTTGAAGGTGAATGTCGGACAATTGATGACACCACAGGAGGAATGTTGTGTTTTTTCTGTTGTTTTATTACGTTTGAAGAATCTTTCACGATTGACTTTGATTGTTTTGGATTTGGCTGAAACTCCAGAAGTGTTTTGTGGACTCAAACACTTCAGCCCCCCTCCATCATAGTGATGAGCAGATAATGAGGGAATTTTCATTTCTGGGTGAACTATCCCTTTAAGTCCGCCTGGGGACACTCTGTGAAAATGTTTCTCACACACACAGACTGAAAGTGTTTTCGTTTTTTAAGCTCCGCCCCTCACCTCATTCTGTTGAACTCTGAGCTTTGACCCCACCTCCTTACCTCTGATGTCAGAGTTTTTGATGAACTCAACTTGATCCAGAAGCTCCTGAACAGTGCGCTCCAGTTTCTGAGCATCTAATGTCACAGAGTCCAGTTTAGATTGTGCAGCCGAGTCCCCTTCCTCTGCCTGGACCAGAGTCTCTTCTGTGTGGCTCAACATCTGGCTCAGGGCCCTCATCAGGTCACTTTGGGGCAAACAGAGGTCAGAGGTCAGCCTTTACTTGAACCTGCACTGCTCTCATCTCAGATTAACTATAATCTCACCTGGCCTGTTGAAGCAGGTGCTGGATCTCAGTGAGCGGTTGTGAAGCTGGGTTCTGGTTCAACACGACCCAGATGTCCGCGGCGCTCCTCTCGATGTTGTCGATGGACTTCTTGTACGGTCCGCTCACTCCACTGGCTTTGAGGGCATTGACCTTGTTAACAAGGCGGTGCGTCTGATTGGTCACCTGACCGATGACATTGTCCCATTCTGCAAAGCAACGGTGGCAGCGGCGACAGTCGGGGAATATTCCTGAGAATCCACGTGCGCACGTGTCACAACGTGGTCCAGACACGCCCTCCACACAGACGCAGTGACCACTGACTTTGTTACACTGATGTTCAGAGACGCCCCGAGGGTCGCAGTCACAGGCTGTGGACGAGATTCTAGATCAATAACTTTAAAACTAACACAGGCACACACACACACACACACACAAACACACAAATGAAAACATTTTACAGGAAGAGTCTGAGACAAACAGTGCCACTTCCTGTTTAACAAAAAACATCTGGCGTGCATGTGTGAGTGTGTAACATCTGGTTTGTATTAAAAACTGTTTAAACTTCTTTCAGCCAAAGAAAAAAAGAACAAAACAGAGAAAAGACAAGACTGTCCTGGACTCTGATCTGGACTCTGATCTGGACTCTGATCTGGACTATGACCTTATCTTGATTTTGTCTTTGAACTGGACTCTGGGCTCTGATCTGGACTCTGGTCTGGTTCCAACTTTTTCCTCCCAAGTAAAAAACATGTCTTAAAGTATAAAACCTGTTTATGACCTTTGAGTTCATGACCTCTCAGTGTGTTGACACTGTGAACCTACCGTGACATTGGACCTCTGGATCTCCCCAGAACAGCTGTTGACACTCGCTGCAGGTTCTTCCGCCGAAGCCGGGGCGACAGGAGCACTGACCACTGATCTGAGAACCAAACGTTAAATACTTAAGTCTTAACGTTTTATTTGATCCTGAATTCAAACATCATTTGGAGAAACAACAAGAAACAAATACATGTTAATTTCACACGTCTGCTTTACATCAACATGAGGTTACACTGGGCTTATATGAACCTAGATATAGAAATGTTATAGAAATGCTGAACCTGATTCTCGATTCTGTAAAATATCACATGAAGTTTTACACATCAGCATTTTTGATGAAGAAATATTAATTAATGACATCAATAAATAAATAATCAATGAGACACGATGTAACTTAAATACATTATTATAGAAGATGATCTGGAGAGTGAGAGATTTCTGATATGTGTATCACAACTGTCTGTTTTATTTTTAATTCAAAGGATCATTCCAACTTCATATTGTTGTTATTGTTGTTATTGTTGTATTAATACAAATTTGTGTTTCTGCGCCTCACCTCGTTGCAGGACGTCCCGTACGAGTGTTTGGGTTCACAGTCGCAGAGCTGACAGCCGCTGCCACTCGCCATGTTCCAGGTGTCCAGAGCACAGCGGTCACAGTGTTGACCAATCACGTTCAAGAGACAGTGACACTGACCACTGCTGCTGTCACAGTGACAGTCACCGGACGCACAGCTGGAGATGTTGCTGCCGAGCTTGTTACAAACGCACTCTGGAAAATAATTATCAGGACTGAAATTCAACTCAAGTCTTCACAAGTTTTATTCAAGATTTCAATAAAAGTTTCAATCAAGATTTAAATCAGAGTTTAAATGAAGAATTTCTCAGATTTGAATCCAGTGTCAATAAACTTCACTCAGAAATTGACAAAAAAATTTCAATCAAGATTTAAGAGGTTCAGTTAACCCTTGAAACAAAGTTTCAGTCCAGATCACATTCTAGTTAATTGCAGAGTTCAGTCTAATCTTTGAAAATGTAGTCAAAGTTCGACTGAAGATTTTTCAAGATCCTGTTTCAATTTAATCATCATCTTTAATTCAGATGATGATAAATCCTGAATCCTAAATTTAACATTTCAACAAGATTTCTCAATCATCCAGGTGTGATTTGATCAAAGACTTATTTTAATCATCGGTCCCTCAGATCAAAGAGGATGGTTGTCATGGTAACCCCGTAAACTCAGTGTACTCACTTCTACAGTCCTGCAGCAGTGCGTTGCCGTAGTAACCCAGTTTACAGCTCTGGCAGGCGGTGCCCTCGCTGTGGTACAGGCAGCGTAGACACTCGCCGGTTTGACCGTTGCAAGACTCTGGGTCCAACATGTCGATATTGTTGTTGCACTGACATGGTTGACACTGACCCCCCCCCTCACCAGGGTTTCCATAGTAACCAGGTGAGCACTCATCACAGCGAGCACCTGAGGAGGAAGAGAGTAAAATTCATGTGAAAGTAAAATTCTGTTTAAATTTCTGTTTTCATCAGTGATGTGTTTCACTTTCAGATATGTTTGTATAAAAAGGTTCATAAGTTAAAATCCAGACACACGAAAGCTAATTATTCAGATGAATCTTCAAACAGGCTTAAACATAAAAATACCTTTCCAAAAACACACATTCCTGTTGTGTTTCAAACTCAACCTCAGAGCATCTTCTCTTTAATTCAAACCTTATTTCATTTTTCCTCAGAACACTTTAGGCTCAACTAACTAACCCTAACCCACAAACTTTGATGTCCTTTATTTATTCTGGTTTTGGTTCAAACCGGTTCTGGAAATATAATTTTACCTCTATATCCAGTGTTGCAGACACAGATCGCCTGCTGTGAGTCGTCACTTCGGTAACAGCTTCCTGCAAACTGCCGCCGGCTGCCGGGGCCATCGGGACACATGCAGGGACGACAGTGGTCACCTGACCCCAACATGGGGTCACCATAGAAACCGTCTAGACACCTTCAGACAAATGTGAGGAAATGGGGAGGCCAACAAAGAAATCTGATTCAATGCATTTTAACATTTTCTGTTTTTATTCAGTTTGTGTTAAATTGTTAACATGTACCTGTCACAGCTGTGTCCAGTGCTGTGGTCCCTGCAGCTGATGCAATATCCAGTGTTGGGGTCGCAGTCGTCAGCATGTCCATTGCATGGGCAGGTTCGACAGGTAGGAAACCCCCAGTGACCTGGCAGACAGCGATCACACTGGCGACCATATGCACCGGCAACACAGACACACTGTCCGCTGAGCTGGTCACAAAATGGATTTTGTGAACCTTGACGGTCACATGCACATTCTGCAGAAATAATAAAACAAGAAATTCATTAGATGCTGCAGAAAAGTCTCTGACATAAAATCGACATCTGCAAAATGAATAAAATGATGCTACTAAAATGTGTTTCAATTGTTGTGAAACTTGATAAAGTATTAGAAATGATAGGATACATATGCATATATATTTTTTGAATTGAAGTAAATATATATCTACAGTACGTTCTATGAGGAGTAGATGTATCTTTAACATATTTCTTCATATGTACATATCAGTATGGATGGGGTCAGTCTGACCTCTGCAGCCATTGGGTCCGAACTGGAATGTGGCCGGAGCACACGCGTCACAATTTCTTCCGACCACATTGGGGCGACACTGACATTGACCTCCACTGGGTTCACACACGGTACTGAGGGAGCCCTGAAGGTCACACTGACATTCTGGAAATGGATTCCAATGCAGGGCATGTTAGAAAACCAACATCAACAATGGAAGAAATAACTTTGGCACAGACAGATTAATGAGCTGGGACATTTTAGGACATTGGAGGAATGTGAAGAGGGAGAAACCAGTCTCGTCGACATGAAGTTGACAAAAACTGACGTGTGATCGAAGAGGAAGAAAGAGAAGCACAAGAAGCAGAAGATGTGAGGCATCAAAGCTCAGCGCTGGGTTCGAGTGAAAGAGCAGAATCACTGAATCACTGTTGTTTCAAGGAATTGATGAGAGAAAATGAACAGAAGAGAGAAAATCTCATGTTTGAATTTATCTCTTATGATATTTTGATCAAATTAAACAAACGTGTGATCACAGAAAAACACAAAACCTGTAAAATAATGTAGAAATGCTTTTAGCACATTTCAGTCAATACAAGCAAATCATTAAAACCATTGGAGAAGAGAGTGTAACATTTAACTGGATGTAAACAACTGGATATACAGTGAGTACAACACACAGATCCCAGAATTCATCAGGCAATGGAATTTAAGAACATCTGCTTCTTTGAACAAACTTATTAAACATGCCACAGGGCTCTCCCACACACACCCAGAGACAAAGGTGGCGCTTTTCAAAACATACAACTTTACTTTGCCAGCTTTTCAGCTGGCACCTCGGCCTTGTAGCTCGTTAGTCTCTCCACACGTGTCCTGTGCGTCTCAGTCCTGAGTGACTCTCTTGTGTCTCTGTGTGTCTGTGTTGCACCTCTTGCAGCACTGCAGCTGCCTTTTGAATCCAGGGACAGTTGATTGGCCAACTAGTCTCAGTTGCACCAATCCCCTCTCCCTGGTTCACCTGGAGGTGCTCACTGATCCACCTCCACAAAACTTCATTCAGACAGTGTGAGATTATTAAGACGGAGTCCTCTGATTTAAGGTGGACTGGCATACCTTTAGCTCCCTGGTGCAACATGGCAGAGATGCTGAAGATGAAGTTTCTGCAGATATCTGTGATTGGTGTCTTGACAACGCTCTGGCTATTCTCTAAACAACGATAACGCTGGAAAATATCCCATCCGCTGTTCCCACTGGAGTCTCCTCCCTCTGAGGCTGTGAAGATATCCAGGTTTTTACAGTGCGGCATCAACACGATCTGAGGGTGAAGAAAACCACAAAGTTGGTATTTCAAATCTACTCTCTATCTCTATCTTTTCTTCAAAATGTCTTTCAAACCTCTGTGATTTTTCATATGAAGGTCGCTGAGGACACATGACTGTACACTAACAAATGTCCAGAGGATTTTTTTTGATGAGATGAGACAGTTTAGTTTCCACTGACATAACAGTTCCTCTTGGGTTCTTGAACAAAAGATCCAATCCAGTGCTCAGACTCAAGAGCCCCTTCCCCTTGAACTACTGTCTCCCCATATTTCTCTCTCTCGTCCTCTTTCTCTTCTCTCTTCTTTCTCTCTCTCTTCTATCTCTCGCCCTCTTCATCTGTCTCTCCTCCTGCTGCTCTCTGCAGGTTTTTCTCTAGACCTTTGAACGCCAGTACAATTTTATACAGCACCTTTCAAATCATTCAAGTGATTACAACGTGTTAACAAAGAGGACAAATAAAATCAAGAATACAAAACATCAAACACACAAATAAGCTCATAAATAAAATGACATATACAATCAAAGGCAACATATAGAATGATGCAAAGGTCTCTTACTACAATAGAATTCTAAGAGTGTATTGGCAAAATGATTAAAATTCAAAAAGTATATAGAAGATTTCAGCATTCTGTTGGTAAGAAGGAAGAAGTTTTACAGTTTGCTCACCGAGTCAATAAGTGTGTACGGAGACTGGATGTCACTGAGGGCTGAGTACAGAGGCAGACTGAGGCGGACGGTGTAGTTCAGATGAGATTCAAAACAAACTGGTCTTGGAAGAACCACATACCTGAGGACACAGATTAAACCTGTTTATATGAGATCAGGTTCAGGAAAGATAAAGATTTCAGTTCCTCTCTCATGCTTCAAGTCAGCGATGATCTTTTTGATATTCAATCCTAGTGAATTTCAACACAAACACAACAGGAGTTAACATCAGGAGAACATATGTTCATAGCTGCTCTGTGTCTGCAGGTAATTTACAAATTACTTTGATTCCTGGGATGTTAGTTTGGACTGTTACCGTGAGCCAGGGTGGAGTGACATCATCTGGTTGTCATCATCAGGTACGGTATTAATACAGCGGCTGTCTGCTCTGATTGGCCCAGGCCTCATCACAGTCATCAGAACCTCCTCCCATTGGTCGGGCAGCTGCAGAACCAACAAACACATCAGATGTTTAACCCTCAGCCCACCTTTTGTATTTAGTATTTTTCATTTCTCTCTTCACATAACTTTTTAATCTCTGTTTATTTACTCTTAATTATTGACTTCTCTTTATTCACAGCAGTATTAAAAATGTTCAGACCAAGTCATATTTTACACAACTTGTTGTCATCGACAAAAGTAGCAATTTCATTGAACCGATCTGCACTCAATAACCCATAATGCACTATTCTTCCCAAACTAACACTGTGGCCAGTCTTCGACCAGGTTCACCATCTCTCCTCATTCGCTCTGCAGGACAAAATCCAAACCAGGAACTCCAAGGAATTCTATGAGGACCTTCACAATAAAATTGTGGTGAAGTGTAGATGAGAATATCTATGGTTAGTGTTATATACTGCATTTCGTTGCTTTGTACTAAAGTTGAATCTAATCTAATCACCAATCCACTGACAATGTCATCATCCATTACCGAATGTTGAGCCAAATCTAGGTCTTTTAAACTTAGCATGGAGTTATTATTGGTTATCTGCTGATACCAGGTCTGATTTCAAACCTAATATTAGATCATTACAAATGTCTCTCAACTTAACAGGTAAACTGTTCCAATACCTGAAGACTGTTTGGCAAAACTTGCAAGTTTCTGCTTGTAAAGGGACTCAAAGTCCTAAGAGATGCTTGAGACCAACATGAAACAATATGTTATATGGAGGAGATCATGGTCACATGGTCTTATGTGTCTGAAGTTAGCGAGGTTTAATTTGATAGTACAAGGTCCAACTTTCTGAACCATACATAGAACAGGAGTAAACATTAGGAGAAAACTCAGTGAACAAATGAAGTAAAGACAGTGAACATTTAACAGATACAAAAAACGAGTTCATTCAATATCAAAAAGGGCAATGCTGACACAAAGTATGAAATAGGAATTATTATCTTCATCATTCTGAACCTGAACTTAAGTGTTATCAACTTACAACAGGTTGTTTCTTCTCAGATTGGACAGATGTTTGAAAAATGTCCAAAGTGATGTCTGGAGATTTATGGGACATAAAATCTTAATGAAGAGAGATGGTAGTGTCCAATCATATGGTTTGATTTCTGCTGGTGGGAGGGGTTACACCTTGTCGACCTTACCTGTGGTTCATAGCGGATGATGATGTCATACTCCATGGAGTCAGGGATGTTCTCCACTGCAAATTCCAGGAAGGCCCCTTCTGGGACATTGACTAGGCCAATACCTGTCCAGGTGGGACTGCGGTCCTGAGGGTGGGGCCTCGGCACCACTGTCACTCCCTACAGAGACAAGATGAAAGCATGAAATTACTTTTTCAGTGTGTTATATAAACTAAGAGAAAACTAGAGAACCTTTTTGAATCAGGAAAAGGAAAACACTTTTTAGTCATAAAATAGATACACAGACATTTATGATTAAGGGACTGCATGTGAAATCCATGTGTTGACTTTTAGGAGCTCAGAAACATCAATAATTAAAAAGAGAATGTACTAGAGGTGAAAATCAGACTTATAAGATATCAGACAGATAAGATCTGTTTGATCTGCAGGACCCAACGGAATAGAAGACAGTGTCAATGGCAAAATTATGAATAATACATTGTTGAATAGGATAATTTATATTGGAAATATAGCAAATGGCAGTAAAAGAATTATGCTTATCAATTCTGAGATAAAACAGTTTCTGAACAAAGATCTTCCACAAAAAAGCAGCAAGACTTTAAGATGGAGAGTTCTGACATTAAAGTTAGGGTTGGTAATCCTGGAAAAACATGACCAAGTTAAAAAGTGCTTCATTAACAATTTACCAACCCTACTTACAACCCCAAACTTTCAGCTGATCAAAAGGTCCAAAGATTAGAAGGTGACTCACAGGTCCAAAAATGGCATCCTCTGCCTCATAGGTGTAGTGATCCAGAGCAATGAAGTAAAATCCAGACTCGACCTGATCGCAGCGACGACCAAACATGTGATCTCTGCAGATGCACTGACCAGTCACCTGATCACACCTTCAAGAACACAGGAATTAGAAAATGTAGATTTAAACTTCTGCTGAAAGATTGTGAAACACAGATTGTTATTGTTACTGTTTCTGAGCATGAACTCCTGCCAGGAGAAGTTTATATTCAGTGTTTTGGTGCATTTGAGGAACCAGCTGATTAACTTCAGGTTATTTGGCACATCAACTACAATCATTACTATAGATACCACCGTAACCACAACATCACATCAGTACCATCTCGATCGTCACCACAACATCATTACCATCATCACTTTCACCACCTCATCATCAACATAAACCACCGCATCACTACCATCACCACCATAACCACAACATCACATCAATACCATCACCACTTTTACCACCTCATTACCATCATCATTACTGTCACCACAACATCACTACCAGCACCACCCCCACACCATCACTACCACCACCACCATCACAACCGTCACCACATCACCACCACATCACTACTATGCCCACCACATCAGTTCCACCACCACCACACCATTACTACCATCACCACCACCACACCATCACCTCCACCACTACCGTCACCACCACATCACTACTATGCCCACCACATCAGT